TGTTGAGAGAGACGAATAGAGAGAGAGACTTTTACTGACATAATGACGAGCAGCGGAGAAAAAGCCAACGAGGTAAGGACGTGTTATCGATAGACTCGGCGAAGTGACGCTCGTCCCGTCAGTAAAATTATTGTCACGGTGTATATATCCACTCTTGCCTTCCCTCAGTATGTACCGTCATTCAAAATCGAGGAGAACGTATTGGTTGGCACGGGGGAAACTCATCCGGTATGCGCGAACGTCGGCGAACTGGTTCTCAATACGAGGGCTGCTCCGTAAGTTTTGCGACTAGTAAGGAAAATACGGTAATTTGTCATTGAAAATGGCTTTATTGTTTTTCAAAGTATTCTCCATGATGATCAATACACTTCTGCATTTGCTCAAACCATTTATTATAGTATCCATGCCACTCCGAAAGTGGTATCTCCAAAACATGTGTTTTAAACGCATCAACCGCTTCTTCTGGCGTCGAAAATCGTTGACCACGCAGTTTATTCTTCATGTTTGGGAACAAAAAGAAGTCATTGGGTGTCAAATCAGGATTGTACGGTGGATGACCCATTAATTAGATGTTTTTATTGGTCAAATAGGCGGTTGTTTGAGCCGATGTGTGAGAGCTCGCATTGTCATGGTGAAGAATGATTCGTCGTCTTGAGTTGTTTTTCCTTATTTGGCCGAAGACTTCTGGCAAACAAATGGTTGTGTACCACTCAGAATTGACCGTTCTACGTTTCTCTAAGGGTACTGTTGCCACATGACCAGTTTTTCCGAAAAAACAGGCGACCATTTGTTTCGAAGTGCTTCGAGCGCGAACAACTTTTGTTGGGTTAAGTTTACTTTGAAAGACCCACACAGTCGACTGCTGTTTAGTTTCCGGCTCATATGCATAGATCCATGACTCGTCACTTGTGTAGAGGTTATATACGGCATTTGACGCACCTCGATCGAATTTCTTCAGCATTTTTTTGCAACAATTTACACGATCCTTTTTTTGAGCAATTGTCAAATTATGCGGGATCCAACGTGAACAAATTTTTTTTACGGCCAAATGTTCATGCAATATCGTCTGTATGCAATTCATACCAACACCCAGGGATGCCTGAATCTCACGGTATGTCACATGTCAATCTTGCATTATCAATTCACACACAGCATCGATGTTTTCTGGCACAGCAGCTGATTTTGGACGACCTTCGCGAGGTTCGTCGGTGAGCGAACTACGACCACGATTGAATTTATTAAACCAGCGACAAATAGTGGCCTTGTGTGGTGTTTCATTGCCAAAAGTGGAAGCAAGTTGATCGATGCACTCTTGTCTCGATAATCCACGTCGAAAGTCGTAAAAAATCATCGCACGAAAGTGTTCTCGTGTTAATTCCATTTTTTCGCTGAGACATAATTTTCAAGTCACTGTAAACAATACAAGTAGCCTCCGTACGACAAAACGTTTCGAGTAAAAAAATCTTCCAAACTGTCAAACTTTTTGGTAAGGTTAGATTTTACCTAGCAACGCCAGTGTTGCCAAGTCGCAAAACTTACGGAGCAGCCCTCGTAGGTTAAGCAGTAAGCCGGATTTCGTCGTACCGTCACATGAAAATCTTATGACTGATTAGGCTCTATCGCATCCGTAGCTCCGTAAGCTTCAATTAAGCTAAGCTGAGCGGAACCAAGGAAACGAACTTAGAAACGGCTAGGAACTTACGGGGTGATAGATGAACGAGTAAAAGGATTACCCGCAATTTTTTTCGCACACTGTGAGAGAAGAAATATCTAAAGAATATAAAATATATTTATTCGATGGCTACTAACAACATACTTATACTAATATATAACATTTTCATAATAAGAAAACAAGAAAACATGCATCTCTTTAGAATCTAAACTTTTCATTAAAGCAATTGTTTATTCTATTTAAATAATAAAATTTAAATTGGAAAGTAAATATATTGTCATATTAAATATCTTTATTATAACAATAAGAAATAAATATATTTTTACAAAAGTATTATTTATATAAATAATAAAAATTTTATTTTTAAGTATTTTTAATAATAATTTTTTTTATCTTTTAGATATTTTTCCTCTCACAATGCATTGACGAGCTTTAAATATTAATCTTTTAACATTCAAGAAACAGAGTGTGACCTGGAAATTATTGTTTATAAGCTTGTCAATATATGTTAATTTCTAATCTATCTCGACATTTGCACACTTACCATATAATTTCTTCCATGTTATTACGTGAAAAATATCAACATGTTAATTTCCATCTGATTATTAATCGAGAATCGCATTTAAACATGTGTAATGTAATTTCGTAGTGTCACAACGATGAGCGATTTTAGAATTGAGGATAATATCTTAATAGGAAAGGAATTATCGATAC